GTGGGAAGATTTGCATAACGCCGCCCAAATGTTCACGCAAAGAAAGAAGGCGTAACTTTTATTCTCGCTGTAGGTTTGTTGTTTCTGGCCAATCACAACACACCTCGCTTTTCAGACCGATGAGCTTTGTAAAAATCGACGCATTTCAAAAAGGCGGGGCATAGAGGAGAAACATGTACAGTATGTGGAAAATAATGTGTTTTTTTAACTTTAAACCGCATAAACGCATTTCATTACACCAAATACACCAAATAATGTTATTTTTAGCAGCATCATATGACCCCTTTAAAAGTGTGGGGTTGGTGAGATTTTTAAGAGTTTTTGAAAAACGTATCTTGTGCTCACCAAGGCTGCCTTTATTTGATCAAAAATACAGTAAAAATGGTAAAATATTATTATAATTTAAAATAACTGTTTCTATTTGAATATATTATGAAATGTAATTTATTCCTATGAAGACATTATTCCAGTCTTCAGTGTCACATGATCCTTCAGAAATCATTCTAATATGCTGGTTTGGTGCCTAAGAAGCATTTCTTCTTATTATTATTAATGTTGAAAACAGTTGTGCTGCTTAATATTTTACTTTTTTTAGGATTCTTTAATTTTTTTTAATAGAAAATTCAAACAAACAGCATTTATTTGAAATAGAAATCTTTTGCAACATTATAAATGTCTTTATTGTCACTTTTGATAAACTTCATGGCATCCTTGCAGAAGAAAATTAATTTCTTCAAAACATCAAAACAAAAAAAAAAAACTTACGGACCCCAAACTTTTGAACGTTAGTGTATATGATTTATTTATGCATAGTAACTGCACTGTAAAATATTATTTTTCAAAATTGCAAATAAAACAAAGATTATTGAAATGTTTTACAAGAAAATACTATTCCAGTGTTTCTACTTCAAAATTTCACATTTAATTCAGTGCGTTACTTGCTGTTTCTGAGTGAAAATTGTTTGTACACAAATTTTGTTTTCAATGTAATAAATAATTAAAAACACTATGGGCAAGTCAGCTGTAAATTAAGGTTTACATTAGATTTGCCTTACTTGACAACGTGATATTAATAAAATTCAGCACAGAAAAATGTAATAATTTAGTAAACCGATTCACTTCTATTCTTACTTTCACCCTGGTTGTTACATTTAAAAATTAATTAAAGGTCTTTTTTTAGATCTAGCATATCTAAGACATGCTTTTTTATCTCTAATTTCTTTGTCTTTTTTAAAAATCTGTGGCACTCAGAAGCCATAGACCCCATTTGAAACATCCCCTTCTTATGATATCACATAATGAGATATTAGAACACTTGAGGGTCCTGTGAATGACTGCATCCCATCAGAGCATGCCTAAATGAATCATCCATCTGTTAACAAACAAGACTTGCGTCACTGGCGTGCTTATTCCCACTTGTCCGATTCTAGTTTATTAATGACGTTTTGATGTCGCACAGGGCTACCGTCCACATCCAAGTGAATGACGTGAACGAGTATTCACCGGTGTTCAAAGAGAAGTCCTACAAAGCCACAGTGATCGAGGGCAAAAAGTATGACAGCATCCTGAAAGTGGAGGCCGTGGACGCTGACTGCTCTTTCCAGTTCAGTCAGATCTGCAGCTACGAGATTGTCACCCCTGATGTGCCCTTTACCATTGACAAGGATGGTAAGTGCTGCCAATTCAGATCTCCTGCCAAAACCCCAAGTTATATCCGTGATATTGACTTCTAGGTCATTGTTATTCATGTGCCTATAAAAATTGATTTGTGGAAACAAGCCGCCATTTTCGGATCTGTAGCATACCTAACATTGACGTCAGCAAACAGTCACCTTGAGTTGTGGCCTGAATTTAAGTATTCAATTGGGCTTACCTATCTTGTGAGGTTATTGCTTGTCCGTTCTCCTTATGAACAGGCAACATCAAGAACACCGAGAAGCTGAACTACAGCAAGGAACGCTTGTACAAACTCACCTTGACTGCATATGACTGCGGTAAAAACCGTGCATCTGAGGACGTTCTTGTGAAAATCAACATCAAGCCCACCTGCAAACCAAGCTGGCAAGGTATCAAAGACCTCTGGATCTTTTGTCTCTCATACATTCAAAAAAACACAGCTGTATTATTTTGTTGTTTAAAGGTGGAAAGCTCAGCTATGAAGGTCAGTTTTGTGAAATTTCAGATGCAAGTATACAGCTTTGTGCTTCAACAAGTTGTGTACATGGACAAAGAAGTTTAAAAGACAAATCCTCCATTATAGCTAAAGATTGTAGTTAAATACTGTCTGAACTAATATTAGCATACATTATAATATGTTAGGTCTGTCAATCGATTTTAATCCCATTTTTATAAGTATTTGCTAAGAAATAACCCACGAATAAAAACAATATTGTGTTAAGTTAAAAAATCAACTTGTAAATTCTATTTCTTTTAATATGGTGTTTATGAACAGTCCGGGGGATGTGATGTATTGTGTTAAAAAAAAGAAAGAGTAAAAGTAAAAAAATGTTAATGTAAAAAAAGGTTGTTTTATGTTAACTAATGTTAATTTATACAGCGTTTAATTATAAATTTTGAACTACTGTTCCAACATTTTTTTCCATAAGATTTTATTTTGTTGAAAGAAATGAATACCAGAAAGGACGCAGTAAAGACATTTATACAAATGTGTCACTGTTTCTACAATATTTCAACATTTCTTCTTATCAGTGTTTCTTGAGCAGCAAATTGACAAATTAGAATGATTTCTGAGTTATCTTGTGTGTCACTGAAGACTAATGATAATAAAAATTCAGCTCAGTTATTACATAACAATATTTCACAATAATACTTTCTTTCAAAATCGAACCAATCCCAAACTTTTGAATGGTAGTGTATGTAAAACAAAAAAGATCATATCAGGTATTTTTCATTGTTATTTAATGTAAACTAATGTTAGTGTTTTACAGAATACTCTTTGTTTTTTGAATGACACATTTTCTCTCTGTTGATAGGATTTAATAAAAGGATTGAATATGAGCCTGGTACAGGCAGTCTAGCCCTGTTCCCCAGCATGCACCTGGAGACCTGCGAGGAGCCAATCACCTCCATTCAGGCCAGCATCATGCTGGAGACTAATCACATCGGCAAGGGCTGTGACCGCGACACGTACTCCGAAAAATCCCTGCACAAGCTGTGCGGTTAGTCCCAACATCCTTATTATAATAGAGTTACATTAACATCAAGATCATTAAATGTGCTTATTACATTAAGCAACTCAAGTGTAAACTATTTTAGACTAATTTACATAATCGTATTACCTGCATAATCCCACAGGCACATGCTGAACTATAATGCAACCAATATTTTGGGATACTGTAATGAATAATTGTTTGTGTGCCCATCCAGGTGCCAGCGCTGGCACTGTGGAGCTGTTGCCTGCTCCCAGCAACTCTGCCAACTGGACCGTCGGCTTGCCCACTGACAACGGGCACGACAGCGACCAGGTGTTTGAGTTCAACGGCACCCAGGCCATCAAGGTCCCTGAGGGTGTGGTGAGCACCACCCTGAAAGAGCCCTTCACCATCTCAGTGTGGATGAGACATGGACCTGGAGGCAGAGAGAAGGAGACCATACTCTGCAACTCTGACAAGACTGGTAATGACATTCACACACAAAACACACTGACAGGTCTGAGAGAGTGATGATGGCTTAAATGTTTGCATGTCCTCTTCGTCTTTTTACTTCAGTAGGGCTGTCAAAATCATCATGTGATAAATTTAATGTGTTATTAACGCTGTTAACACATTTATTTAGTATGACACTGTAATGGATAATAAGTAATGCACTTTTATTGCAGCTTTTTATTATATTTTTAATTAATATTTTTAATTTCATGATATCTCATGATATCTATCAGGCATTTTATGTGTAGTATTACAAAAAAATAATCACTTTAATAATCACCTTTTTGTTGGTTTTATGTAAAAGTATATACATAAATATACACAACTGTTCAAAATTGTGGGGTCAGTAATGTTTATTTTATTTTATTTGTTTTGTGTTTTATGTTTTTTGTTTTGTTTTGTTTTGTTTGCTAGCCATTTTATATGTGGTATTCCAACAAAAAAAAATCCCCAGTGTTCCCCTTATCCAGTGTTACACACACACACACACACACACACACACACATATTCTGAAATACGTGTCATTACAAATTGCTTTATTGTTTTGTTTTCTTTCCTTTAAAAGGAATTGAATGCATTAACTACAAAAAAACATGTTTGAAAGAAAACGAAGAAAAAAAACAATTTTATATATATA